TGAATCTGAAATGTACAGTAATTTAGTCATAATTTGAAAAATAAACTCATACTTGTTGAGTTCAGTAGCAGCAATTCTAACTTAGTTGAATGAATTAGGTTCGTGGTGAGCGGGTATTCGGTTAACGACATTTTCCCGGCTTATCGTCAACTGCAAGGGATGTTCTGAGCTCTTGTAATGACTTCATTTAAAAGATTGGTATCGGCCAGATCGGACGCATCTGATATGGATTTGATCGCAAAGTATGAAAAAGTTAGACGCCCCGAGAAACTAGCTAAGAATGACGCAAAACGTACAAATGCTCATGATGCTGTGCGTGCACATTATGATTGGCTCACTGTGCATGATTGGTTCGCTGGACCGTCCTTGGGTTTTGGTCGATCGTTGGACATGTGCTTTGTCGTTTTGTTCCTTTCACGTGATAGTTCGTGAATATGTAAACAACTTGGTGTTTGCAGAGCTTGGCTCTTCGTAACCGCTATCGCCTCTGGATTTGTATCCGAACTCGTGTGGTTCCAGTTGATCGGACTGGCGTGTCACGTGCTGCTTATATATGTGTGTCCCGAGACCAAGAAAGTGGCCTGAAGGCATTCACCCACAGATTGGTCGGATTCCCATATGCCCACAGCATTCACTTGGGAACCACGGTTTCAGACGGACCAGCGATGTCCTGACTCGGATCCTCCTCGCCCAAAGGCGTACCCAGCCGTGCTCTGGCCGCCGCCAGCCACCTCCACCCCTTGTCCTCAGCAGGACTCCTCACCCTCCCGCTCCCAGCCTGCAGCACCCCGGACTACGACACAGGTATGACATCACCGTGGGGTGATAGCTGTCGTAAGGAAAACCTCGGTGGGTAGTAGTCGTCGTAAGGAAAACTTCGTTGGGTGTTAGCAGTAAGGGAAATTTCGTTGGGTGATAACTGTCGTAAAGAGAACTTCGTTGGGTGATAGCTGTCGTAAGGAGAACTTCCGTGGGTGATAGCTTTCGTAAGGGATATTTTTGCGGGCATAGCACAGATGACAAATTCCTAGAGACCTACCCCGCGGCGCGTCGTGGCTGCTTTGGGTTCATTTGGCTGAGCAGATTGATAAAACGGATGGACACATGACGACTTCGACCGTTGAAGTCCGGTGCTCCAATATCTGAATTTTAAAAAATGCTTGTCATCCAAAATCTTGTCAGTATTTTTTTGCGCGAGCAAAGGCATTACGAAACCCAACTGGGTTTTGGCCATTGACTGGGACGGTCTGCGGCCGGTGATAGCGGCCGCGCTGAAGGCCAGCTGTCGTCAGGGGCGGAACGATCAGCTCTGAATGCCAGCTGGTGTCAGGGGCGGCACAGTCAGCACTGAAGGCCAGCTGTCGTCAGGGGCGGCACGGTCAGCACTGAAGACCAGCTGTCGTCAGGGGCGACACGGTCAGTACTGAAGGCCAGCTGTCGTCAGGGGCGGCACGGTCAGCATGAAGCTGTCGTCAGGGGCGGCACAGTCAGTACTGAAGGCCAGCTGTCGTCAGGGGCGGCACGGTCAGCACTGAAACCAGCTGTCGTCAGGGGCGGCACGGTAGCACTGAAGGCCAGCTGTTGTCAGGGGCGCACGGTCAGCACTGAAGGCCAGCTGTTGTCAGAGGCGACACGGTTAGTGCTGAACGTTGCGGCGCGTTGAACTTGCGCCATCTAATTTTGCCGTTCTGTAAATTCTGGAATTTTACGGCCGGTTGATAGGAGCCACGCAACACCGCTGCTTAGCATGAGTTCAGATCTGAAAGATTCACCCATTTAGAGAGTTTGGGACTAAATTTTGACCCTCGTTGAAAAAAACCTCCAGCGAGATCAACTCTCTGCAAACACATCCATTCCACGACACAACTTGTACACGATGACCTGACACAAGGACGGAACAGGTACGGACTGAGCGTTTTTGCACCATGGGACGTTTACACACACAAATGTCTCCACAAGAAACTAGTGTGAACGGACTCCCAACGCGGTCCGGAACGGGCAAAGCGGCGGAAAATTGCACATGTGCGGATGGGCAGCCAGGATGTCAAGTTTGAATCATCAATTTGAATTTGACTTGTTGTTTGAATTTGAAAGGTCAGGCGTTAATTGTGAAGTTTGCATCGCTTAATGTTAAAATTTAGGCGGGATGTGTCTAGACCGTCCATTTTCACGGAATTCGCAACATCGTTGCAGTGTTGACTAGACATACCACACCAACCGGTCATCCACGCTTAAGATAATGTTATCAAGGAGCCCAATGACAACGTCGATGTTAAACGAACCAAGCTCCCCAGTTTGTGTGGGATTTTGGACCGGGACGGCCATTTTCAAGAGCATGCCTTGCTGTCAGTTATGTCCCCAAGGCCTCGAATCTCGCTTCTGAGCTAGGCACACGGGAACTTGCGCAGGCCTTTTTCGCGCCGTTATGTAAAATAGGTCATTCAACTGGTAGTACATAGTAAAATAGGTCAGCAACACGGCTGTAAGCACTGGTAGTAAAAAAGGTCATGCCGACAAGTAAAAGGATGCAGGGATTTGGCAGCCTTACCACTTGAAGGATATAAGGCCGGGGATCAAATAACCTTACAAAAGCGCCGTGCCGGGTATGCAAATGCGGGTAATAGATACAAAATTAGCAACAGTTATGCAAGCACACCATGAGGAAAGGCCAAGGCACACGCACATAAACGCCCCGAACACAAACGTACGCGCATTATGCCAACAACGCGACTGGAGGACGCGTATAAATATATGCAGTGGGCGGCCCGGTGGCTTCAGGCGGCAATGCGGACACGGCCGGTCGGGCTGCGGCCTTGACGTCCCTGGAAACGTTTCATGACGAAATGAAAGGGTGACGTAGTAAGGGGCAGTGTTGCCAAGTACTGAAGTGTGTCGTCAAGAGCGGCTGTGCGATTGAGAGCATATAAATCATGCACAGTTAGCTTTTTCTTTACTTACCTAACCTTGCCCCTATTCGAATGTTGGACTTACCCTTAAGGTATTTGAAGCGCATTTTATGCAAATGGGATGGAGGATCATGTTTTAGTGATTTCCAGTTGTGCATGGCAAGCAGAGATTTTCAGTGAAACGAATAGGTTTGCGTCTGCGGCACGTGCCCTTGGTATACAGTGGCGACGACTAGATATTGTCCACCAGGACATTGCGGTTTTTACAATCTGAACAGGATCTTAGTTGCTGTTTATTAAAATCCATGATATGTAGATGAATCTGTGGCTGTCTTAACGAAATAAGTCCCAAAACAAACCAGTCATCTTCTTTTCCAAACATGAAAAAATGCAACCCTCACCTCTTCCCCTGTTGACGCGACTGCAGGCGCCGTCAGCACCAGACGGAAGACGGGAACGGAAATCGCAGACGAAAACCACTAACGTGCCGTAATCGGCAACTCATGAACACTGACTATAGATGTCACTACTCGTCAGCGCACCAACGCCGCGAATGACGGAACAGCGGCGGCGACGGTCGGCGCGAGCAGTGCTGACGCACGGCCCTGCGGCTAAAGATCACCGAATCCAGCGGGCGCCACCCAACACCGCACCCTGTAGGAAGCGCAAGAGGCGTGTGAGTCGCCCCCCCCCCCCCCCCCACCAGCCTAGTAAGCCGTGAAGGTCGGTGTCCACGTTTCCTCCGTGGAGACTTAAGTGTTGGAAGTAATGCGTTACAGCGTTTCCGTGGGCGGGACGGACACGAAAAAGGGCCGTGTGTAGGGTAAACTTTTTAAAGTAACTTTGAGTCCTTAACATCGATGAGATATTGTGCCAGTGGTTTCATGTCACTCGCTTAGGGTAAGAGACATTTTTCCGCGCTGAATTGAAATGTCGCTATTTCGAACTATAAGCGATAAAACTAGCATGACACGTTCATGTTCAATATATGTTCACGGTGCTCACCAAGCCAATCAGACATGCTCGTTACGACGAACCCTGTTCCGACGGCCGACAGCTCCCGACACCGGACACTGGTCGCCGCCAGACCGGTCGCAGGGTAGACCGGTCGCAGGGTCGCTGGTGGCCGCAGAGGCGTAGTCGGACCAACGCGTGGTCGCTGGTGGCCACGGAGGCCTGGTGGGCCAACGGTGTGACGCGTGGAAGGGTCTCCTGACGTGTCCCACACGGTGGCTCGCAGTGTGTCTCCCCGCTGGACAGTGGCAGTGGATGCGCGTCAACAAGAGCTGCGGTATGTCGGGCTACCCCGAGGCACAGATCCGGCTATTGAGTGTCACGGCGAGCGATTCGCGAGCAGGCGGTACTTTCATGGCGGCAGACACAGGTTCTCGACGAGTTCCCTGTCCGCTACTTTTATGACGGTAGACGCAGGTTCTCGACAAGTTCCCTGTCCGTCAGAGCTGTCTGTTGCCGTTGAGAAAGGCATATATGACATGAACAAATTCGTCAAATGAGGTTTTTTCCAAGGTGGACTATTTCTGTCGGCGTGAAGAGCTAAATGAAACGATAGGAAATGATTGTAGGTACAGCAGGCTGAGTTAACACGACTAAGCCGTAGTGAAACCTGATGCTGGATAAGGCACGGTGACGTCTAACGAAGTGGGCGGCAGGCGTATTTTCAGTAGCGCCGCCTAGAAGTTTCATGACGCCTCGTGCGGTGGGTGGGCGCCGCCTACAGGTGACGCCGTCTACAAGGCCCCTGTAGTTCAGTGCCAGGCCCTTTTTACGGACTTCAAACCCGCTGGTGTCTTGGCTCGATGCTTGTGCGAGCTTGGGTAGCCTATTTCGCGCGGCGTATTGAAATCACTTAGACATGCGTGACGTCATACAAGCGTAACGTTAATACCGCTACCGTACACTGTGTTGGTTGTCAAGAAAGGCGTCAACACTGGAAGATCCGTGCTGATTGTGTTATGTTCGCCAGTTGATGGCCAGAGCGCCGTGCTAGCCGTTGCCGCAAACTATGACGTGGCACTGATTGGCCACATCAATGTATCGTAGTTAATTTTAACGCACACTTGCTCCGCCTGCCGCACGGTATGGGCGTGCGAGCCTAGAAGAGTTCGTTCCATGCTCACCGCAGAGCAGCCCCGGCACAGCGGACCGGGGAGGGAAAGATAACCTCACTGCACTTGTTGCCTACACACGTGACTCGACCAAGTATTACTGGAACTGAACCGGTTACTGTCTACTTAAACACTGGCACTGACCTTTGGCTTCGTTTTCCCTACTAAACAGGCATGAATGCACATCCTGTGTAAACCAAAGCATAGAGCGTAGACATTTGGACACACATGAAGAAGCCCCCCCCCCCCGCGCCCGCCGTGAAAGACCGCGGTCCCACCCTCTGTGGCGCTCCCCCACGGACCTACCCCAGAAAGAACGCGGTGCTCAGTGCCACGAGAGACCGTTCATCACGTCCCACATCGTGCTCGCGCTGGAATGGGACGTTCGCTTCCTCGTGCGTGCGCAAAACCTGGCTGCGGCGCCTCGGATGCCTGGTGCGGCTGTTTCCTCCTCCCCCCAGCGCTGGATGCCTGGCCGGCCATCGCTCCAGCGGCCATGTAGCCGACAGCTCGGGTCGCGGCCACCTGGCGACAGGTTTCCAGGCAACGGCCCCGAGGTGTCGGGCGCAGCCGGTCCGCGCCCCTCACGAGACGCGGCGGCGCCAACGTAGGGCCACTAACGCCCTAAACGAGTATCTCTCACAGCAAGGTTTATTCGAGAGTCACTGGAGCAGCAAGCGACTGGACCGTCGTTTGCGCGCCGCCGCGGCGTGAAGGAAGCGCATGTAGGCCAGAGCTGGCCTGCTGCCGTGGAGGAAAGGCATGTAAGAGATGAAACAATTCGTCCAAATGAGGTTTTTCAAGGTGGAACTATTTCTGTCGGCGTGAAGAACTAAATTAAACGATAGGAAATGATTGCAGGTACAGCTGGCGGAGTTAACATGACTAAGCCCTAGTGAAACCTGTATTGCATAAGGCACGGTGGGATCCAACGAAGTGGGCGGCAGGTGCATTTTCGGTAGCGCGCCGCCTACAAGTTTCATGATGCCACGTACGGTGGTGGCGCCGCCTACTGGTGACGCCGTCTACAAAACCTGCCGACAGGAGGCCTGCGACGGTGCTGAATATTTCAGATTGCTTGTTACTGCCACACATATGTTGAGTATTCATATAATGCCCAATATTGTGCATGCTCAGTATTGTCATATTCATTTAAGCATCCCGTCACATATTGTCATAACGGCTTGAGATGTCAGCATGAAGTACCGTGACGGCGTGAGCGGGTGATATTCTATGTTCTCTCTTCTCCCCGCCTGTACACTCATCAGACAATATAGGGTTGTTCTCTATTTACACACTTCGGTAGTCCTTTAGCTGTTACGGGAGTAAGAGACCTTGGTTGTCGCACTGCGCCTTGAAACCCAAATCATCGAGAGATGGTATTGTTACTTTGACATAGTAGCGTCAGGAGATGTGGCGGCATAGTAGCATAGTTAGCATAGGGAGATGGTATTATTACCTACACGTTTGGGGGCAATTTTGCCCCTAAAAGCATTACTCAAACGCAAACCTTTGGGAGGGCGCTGTAGGTGAGTGAATTGCGTGTGTTGTTTGGGCTCGGTCGGACCAAAGAGTGCGTGTGAAAGGAAAGTATTAGGTGGGTAAGTGACAACAAACGTCCCCTCGTGGCCCGTCCCCGTGAGCCCTGTTTTCAGGCGTGGGTAGTGTCAACGCGGCGCTGGTGGTGGTTTTTAGATGGGGTCAGCTTTCATTTCACGCTGCTCACTGGATAATGTTTTCCCTACAGCTTTTGTTTGTTTGTTTAGCATAAACGTTCGTAGCCAAAAACACCAAGAAGCCCCGAATCTTACACACTGCCAGCGGTCATCCAGACCACTTGTTGATATGATAGTTGCGGGTGGTCCATGGTAGTCCTGCATGTATGCACGCACGCTTGATGGCTGTGTGCAGGCGGTTTGTCTCAGCCTGTACCTTCGAACATGTACCTCTTCACGTTTCACTCGGTGTCCAAGGTAGACCAAACATCACCACAACGTCCGGTGTGTGTTTGTGCAGCCTGCAGTGTGTCAATGTCCTGTATTGAATCAGCCCGCCTGTTCGCCGACGGTGGCAGCACGTCACCGCCCATCACGGCTCTCACCGCCCGCTCGGCGGGGAGTGTGGGGTTACCGCGCGTCGTAACAGGTATCAGGAGCGACGACACCACCAGGCGTGATCTCATGTCAGCAGCGGATCAGGAGCGGCGACACCACCAGGCGTGCTCTCATGTCAGCAGCGGATCAGGAGCGCCTAGTATGGCCATCGCAGGGTCGCTGTGGCCACGGAGGCCTAGTCGGACCATCGTAGGGCCAAGCGGCTGTGTGCAGTCGGGGCCTCAGCTGTGTCTGTGACGAGCTTGCCAGTCACCGCCGTTGTCCCCTTTTGCTCTGCCACGCCCCAGAGCTCCTCTATTGGCCTTGGTGGGAAGACACACGGTCTGTCTCATGGCCTCCCCCCCCCCCCCCCCTCTCCCCATATTTGCTGATATACACGTGAGAGCTGCACAGCAACTGGACCGCCGGCCTTGCACCATGCTTAGCGTAATTTCATGAACTGAGGTCTTTTAATGTCAGTTAAGCGCTGAGAAATAAATTGCAGTTAAGAATTACGTCCGGATCCACAGTTCCCGCCAGCCAGGTGTCTGTTGGTGTACTTTTATATAGGTGGCGCTGCGGGCGTTCG